AGCAAAATCTCCATCATCGTCACAGATCTATTGGTCATTTGTGTGACGTGAAGGGCAGTGGAAAAATGAAGCGCTAATATAATATCCACATCAGCCTCCACAGGGGAAGGGAGTTACAGAGCTGATCATCTTCTCATAGCTCAAAAGTTTCCACATGGTGCCAGATGCCAATTTTTTCCTCAGAGCCTCATTTCACCGGAGTTATTGGTTCCTCAGTATTACACAGCTACCCACAGAGAAAGATAACTTTGGCTCTTCCGTTACACTGGGCGTGTTGTGGATGGAGATACTTGAAAAGGAAAAGAGAATGACAGAAATGCATCTCTGTCCATTAAGAGGAATTATGTATAAGTACAGGCTTCTGAACCAGACCCATAATCTTAATACACAAAGCACACTTGGAACAACAGCCGCGTGCGACTTGAGCGATACACTCGAGTTAATGAAGCCTTTAATCTACAGCACCGCCTGCAGCAGCCATCAGCTCTAGCTGCTTAATGCAGCCACACTGGGACTGGGAAAAGCACGAGACAAGTCCGCACTTTGTAGCTCTGCTTTCACTACAACAGCAAAGAATGACAATGGCAGTGCAAGCATGACCAAGCTCAGCCTTAAAAAGTAAAGAAATCGTGGTACAATACTACACCTGGACCCTTACTTGCCTAAATCAGCACGGGTTGTTCAGCCAAAGCTTTAAGGCTCTTCCTGAAAGGAGTGACTGACATAAATGCTGCTAGGATCCTGCTAAGCTCACCTGAGGTGATGCCTCCCTCCCTTATTTCAGTGAGTTCAGATATCTCATCTACAACTCATTCAAATTGGCTTGGTTTTTATACAAGCACCATATTTTCATAATCATCAGTGTGGTATGTAAATGTGCATGTTTGCAAGCCTCCTGTGTAATAAAATTCCACTTTATGATGTATTTCAGTAACTGGAAAATTATAATGAAAGCAACAATGCTGGGTATAAGCAAAAAGAACAATTAAAATAAACCTCTCTACCATTATAGTTAATTCTTAGATGGCTGCTAATACTTTATTCCTTTGTGCAGAATTAATACATTCTCTGCTTAAAAAGAAAAGGTTCAAATTGTTCGAGGTGGAATGTGGCTTTTTTCAGTTTGAGGATCGTGGAACATACCTAACAGCAAAGCTTTAAAACTACGCTTACACCTACTACTGCTGCAATTGTGCATAGCACACAGGGTCCTTAGGCAGCATGGTTTATGTCAGGTTTCTCTATTCAACTGGATCAGATTTCCACCCCATATCCAGCCATACCCTGTATTTGTTACTTTCATATCATACATTTCTCTCTTTTTCTTAGCCCAGTTTTTGTAAATGACTTTCTTGTTCCCAGACAGTGACTCCCTGCTTCTACCCAAGGGTGATGAAGGCTGTTCCCGGCAAGGCACCTTGCAGGAGAAGGCACCAAGGCCTCAACTTGCTTGATGCAGCCAAAGCAATGCCTTCTTCTCCAGTCCAGCAGTCTCCACCTAAAGATGCAAGTATGTCAGAGGATGAAAGGGAAGGGATGGGGACTGTTCATATATGGCTTCTGGGCAAAATCAAACAGGGATGTGCTAGACCAAGTAAGAGCTAGGTGTGGAGAGAGCATGTTATAGGAATGAGAGCATCACTTAATGTCTTTATATGTGTGAAGCCCTATGCTTAGTTTAGCCCTAACTTCATTTAAGGGGAAAGGAGTGTCTTTCTAAGCCTGTAGTATCACATAAGTGCCAGAATAGCTGCACATCTCCAGGCTCATCTGCTCTGCATCTGTAGCCCCTACATGGTCATGGAACCTGCTGGGAGTCCTTAGGGCAAGGGAATCTCCCACAGCTTAACACTAACAACTGCTTACCCAGTAAGGAGGAAAAAACCTAGAACAAAAATTACTAATAAGGCAGTCTCAGGAAGAACTTTTATTAAGATAGGACCAGTGATGAGTTAACAAGAAGAGAATTAAACCTCACATATCTATAACGCAAATGTGTTGCTTGCTAAAACTGTCCTCCAACCTCAAGCTTTCAGCCCACTCACCTTTAGGCAGAGAAAAAGCAGCTCCTAACCAGAGCAATATCAGCCATAACAATTTTTAAGCAGGATGCTCCTGCTTGTCTAGCAGAATAAGCAGAAGCTTTCCTCCAAGGTGACTTCCAACTAGAGCAAGCACTGCTCACCAGCTGGAGCAGGACTGGCAGACACACACATTTTCACTGCCACAGCCCAACTCTGTCCAAGTCTGGACTCCAGGACCACCAGGACCCTGAAACACTATCCTGCTGAGTACCTGGCACAACACATTAAAAGGTGTTTGGGCCACAGACTTCTGTATTTGTGGGCACACTTCCCCCTTGGCACATCTGCACTGTGCAGCAACAGAGATGACAGCTCTGCACAATGCTGCAGATATGCCAAACCCCCAGGGCCATGATGCACACCTGGCAGCCAGCACTAACAAGCAGTCCTACCCGCTGTATCTCCCAGCCTCCTCTCCATGGTTCATACCTCCGTGCACGATTTCTTCCAGCTGTTGGCTGTGCAGCAGACCTGGAACTCAGTGTTTTAAGTAAACCGTCACGTTTCTTGCAAGAGTGTCTTAGTGAGGGTGATGCAGGAGATCAGGTTGTGCCTAAGTAGTCCGGGCCATCTGCTGTAGTTATGCACAAAGGCCATAGCTTTGAAAACTGGAAAGAAAACCGTGTCACTCTTGGCTATGTTCTTCTAGTATCTTCCCTGTTCAGGCTGATGCTGCAGAACATGCACTGTAGACAAATCAATTCACCTGGCTAATTTGATTATGCCTTGGGTGCTGCCCCTTAGACAGTGCCCCTGTCAGGAGCAGCAGAGATAGTCACACTGTCTCTAAACACCTGTTCTATCTGTGCAGCAAAAGGCAGGGCAGCACAGATAAGACCTGGGCCCCAAGGATAGCACCTCACTGTGGCCAGACTGACTGCCCACTGCTATTCCCTTTAGCACCCAACTGGCTGAGGAAAGTCCACCTGCTCTACAGCCCACGCTCAGTCCTTCTCACCCCATACGCAGCTCTACTTGCAGCTGTGCAGTGGCCACGCCGTGCTCCCAGGCAGCACAGAACACTGTTCCAACCTGCCCATTGTGGCTGCAGCACAGCAGTGCCAGAGCCATCCCACAGCTCCTTCAGGAGAAGAGCAGTGTGAAAACACACCGAAGGCGATGTGCAAAGAACTGCTCCTTAACACACTGAAGGATGTCAGCTCTGTGCTGCGATCTCTCTGGAGGATCAGACCAGTGCCTGCCAAAGCCCTCCCACATCTATAGCTGTGATAAACAGCTGCAGCTCCGGACACAGCTCCTGGTGTCATCATCTCTCCAGCAATCTGCAGCCTCACGCCTGCGTTAGCTGCCTTTGGTGAAGCAAAGGGTCGGTATGTCAGGGATGAAGCCAGAGCAGAAGCGTGTGTTGTTACATGACAAAAGAGTAAGAAAAGAAAACACTGTTTTCATGTGCTACCCTGAGTTACCTTCTGAAAGCGTAGTTCCTGGTATAGGTAAAGCCTTCTTTAATTACAGCCTTCCCAACGCATACTCATGTGGTAATCACTTGCCTTTTGCTGCAAGACCACCCCGATTAACCAGCCCTGAGAGCCAAGTACTGTCACCTTTCAACTACAAAACAAACTGCCAGTTTTTAGCCATTCCAGCATTGTCCCAGGGAAAGATTTCGTTTCTGCAGTACAAGTACACAACTCACTGTAACCAAAGCATTACTTAGATGAATTTAGCTTATGGCACAGCAACACCAAGATACCAGGCCTCTTCGGTTATTTCTGAAAAGCACAAGGAAAAAATAAGTCGTTTGGCCTTAGAATAGTGTAATTTACAGGTTACTTCCCTCTGTCTCTAAAGATAAAAAGTCATCCCTAGGCTGCTGATGAACTTACCAGGTACATGGTAATGACTGGGGGAAAATTCATCTGAGCAATCAGACAATGCAAGCTGTTGTGCAGCACTGGCAAAGGAATGTAAAAGTTTTGAACCTTGGCTCTGAGAGTTAAAGACAGGGGGAAAACCAGACTGCTACCTTTCTATCTATGAGATAAGACATTGAGGGGTGGCGGGGATTTGGCTAGCCAGCAACCACAACTTTTCACATCAGGATGATGACAGCCGCACAAGGATATGGGATACCGACCACAGGCGTTTGGTGCTGCGGGGAAAGCACCGCCAGGCAGCTCTACTGACAGACAGCTCTTCTTACCACACCTGCTGCTGCTGCATTCAGCCAAATCCCTTGCTTTCTAGAAACAGGAGCATGCAAAGCAGCGTGTGACAGCACAGCTTCTCTACCGTTCTGCTGAGCGCTTTGTCTTCTTCCAGCATCCCCTCCACCCGCGGGGTCGGGACCCGGTACCACACGTCCTCCACGAAGGACGGCACCGAGCTGCTGCTCACTGCCGGTTACGGCGCTAATTAAGCCTCACTGACTCCCCGTGGGACAGGCAGGTGACACCATCCCGCCTCACCTCCGCTGCTCCTGGGGCAGACCCGAGCGGACGGCAAAGCAGCGGACGGCAAAGCAGCGTCCGGCTCCGCGTGCAGCGCCGGCCGAGCCGCCAGCTGAGCACGTCCGGGCGGGAGGGGGAGAAGCACGGCGGGCACGGGGCTCCACGAGAGCCCGGGGCAGCGGCCACGCGGAGCGCAGCCAGGCCTTGGGGCAGGTGGGAGAGCCGAGCCCAGGAGGACGTAAACATCAGCGCTCCGAGCAGATGCATCGCACGCAACGCAGATCTACCGTACAGATGTTTACAAAAATAACAGCAGGAAGAGGTGAGAAGCCGCCGGAGCCGCACCGCCGGGGCACGGCCGCGGCCGGACCGGCGGGGAGCAGCTCTCTGCGGGCAGCGGGTTTGGGGCAGCGGCGGGGGAGGGGTCGGAGGCAGACGGCCGTGCGAGGGCGCGGGTCCCGCTCCCCCCGCCCGCCCGCCCGCCGGCCGCACGGCCCGCACTCACCACGGTGACGGGGGACACCATATCGGCGGCGGGGCGCGTCCTGCCGAGCCGTGCCGAGCCGTGCCGTGCCGCCGGCCCTGTCGCTCCCCGCCTGCCTGCCGGGCTGTTTTTTTAGACAGCCGTGACGTCAGCGGAGGGGGGGCCCGGGCCCTGCCCCCGGGAGGCGGAGAGGGGCGGGCGGGCCTCCCTCCCCGCGCTGCGCGCCGCGCTCCCGGCCCCGGCTGCGGGCAGCGCCGATGCCGCCCGGTGCCGTCCCGCCGCCGTTTCGGGCACGGCGCCCCGTGGGCTTCGCCCTGCTTGCCCTGCTCCGTTCCTCGCCGCCCTCCGCGCGGGGCTCAGGCTGGTTGGGGTGACCCCGGGACTCCCTTCGGTCTATATTTACGTGAGGATTAATATTGAAGGATGCAGGAAGCCACTTGACGTGTAATACGATCTTGCTCCAAAGTTTTGCTTCATAACAAAACAAACAGGTACTTAAATAGTAGATGATTAAGTAATCTGCTATTTGCAACCAAAGCAGGAGTCACGTTTGGTATTTTGCACATCAAGGGAACATTTTCTCCGCTAAAGCAGAGAAGAATCCGTGCAATTCTTTTGCAGTCTTTGTGCAATAAACAGGTATCGCGTTTCTGAGTACAGAATGTTTGCAAGCAGCAGCCCCGAGATCCCACGCGGGCATCACGATTGCAAGCACAGACGTGTAAATAGAGAGGGCAGCATTTGGTCCGTCAGCGCCCGGTGGGACCGCGATGGACTCTGCAGCCTCTGCGTCATTCGCCGGTCTGAGAGGGACTTCTACCCAAAAAAGAAACTGCAGATTTGCACCGTCAGATCAGAGAGGCAGCATGGGGAGATCTGAGGCAAGTAAACCTCAATCAGATCAAAGGAAACGGTTTGCTGTACAGCAAAGAGCCGTGTGGCCGCAGCCAGGCCCTCTCTTACAGTTCCAATTAAGATAGTTCACAGGGCTGTGACATTTTCATTAGGCAGGAAGAGGGGGATAAGCTTTTCCCTTTCTGAGGAAGTAGGTGTATTAGAGAACTGAAAGGGATTTCACAGCTTTCCATGGCAAAGGCCAACCCTGCTGCAGTCAAAAAGGTCTCTCTTGGGAAGAGTAGAAAGAACCAGAGGTGTTCGTACGTCAAAGGATCTGATACCATAGGGGATTGTCAGAAGAACCAATGCTCTGTCAGAATCAGGGTTCCTAATTGCTTTTGAAAATCCTTCTGGGAGCTTGATGATGTCTTGGTATTTAAATATCTAAAAAAAGGAAAAAGAAAAAGAAAAAAGAACAAAGAATCTGTTCCTTGGTGCCTAGCCAAACTCCTCATCTGCTTAACTTGGCCTTTTTTGAAGTGATGAGCCAGGCAGTGCAAGGGCTGGGGACATGTTTGTGTTTGAGCATCATCTCTCCTTCCCCAAAAATGTGAGATGATGATTA